TACAGTATTTTTACAGTCTTTATTTTACAGTTAAAATAAATGTTTATCAAATAAAGTCTAATGTTACAACTAATCGGGGATCCCTTTTAAGGGGTAAACAAGTTTATTGACTAATGACTTTTCCTTTGATCTTGTTGCCTTAAGGAAGTAGTTCTCAAACTGAGGGGCGGGGCTCCATGGCTTAATTTGAGTTTGTTTGTTTGTTTGTTTGTTTGTTTGTTTGTTTGTTTTAATGAACAAAAAACTATTCATATTGCATTTTTTTTAAATAAACATGCTTATACTTGAATACGTGGCACAAATGTTGCAGGTTTGTTCTGGGGTCTGGTGGGCGTTGGGGGGCAGGAGCAAAGTGGGGGCCCGAGTCCAACAGAAAAGGTTTGAGAACCACTGCCTTAAGGTTTGCACGAGTCAARTATTAGCTCGTACTAGCTTTGATCGTAATGGAAAAATAAAAYAACTCCAGAAAAAGCTAATGTGGCTAAAAGCTAGCAGCTGAGTTAGCTTTCAGCTTCTGGCTTACCAGAGTTTGGGTACCTTTGCACTGTGAAAGTTTATTTTATTTTTTTAAATCATTTTTAGGATTAATGTCGTGTCAGTAAAAACAATTAACAGATTTATAAAGTTTAAATTTATTTGTAATTTATTTATTTATTTGTTGAATTCTGGATGAAATTGTTTTTTGTTGGGCAGATAAGTGTAAATTATTGCAATTTTTTTTACTAAGAATTGCTTCAAAGTCAAAACTTAAAAGAACCAAACAGCTGTAGAGAGAAGGTATATTTAAAAAAAAAGAAGATTTGATTGTGTTTCTTGTGGTACTCTGGCTACAACCTGCCATCAACTCCAAACTGAAAATGTGCCTCTTGGTTTTTTTTGTTCGGTCAGAAAAAAGAGACATTTTGGTGGGAGGGCGTGGGACTAGTTTGAGTCAACATTTCTTCTCTTTTTCATGTTGAGAAAATAAAATCAGCAACAATATTTAAACTGAAACCTCTGTAAAGCCAAGACCTCTGACCAGTTTTGTTCATTTTGTGAAATACTGATTTTAGCATCTGGCTTTCACCAAAACTAGTGGAAATCATGGAAAATATATTGTACATAATGTAACATTAATATAATGCAAAAAGGACAAATGGTTTATCTTGTGTGCAAAACCTCAAATAACAGGATAAAGCCGCAAAATTTAATATATGGTCTGTTTATGTTTCCAAAAGTTGATTTTATTTTTTCTGTGAATGAACTGTTGTACTTTAATACAGCCGTGCATTAGGCAGTTCAGTTTTTTTAAGTGCAATTAAACAAGCTGAAATTTAGTTTTTACTTCATGTTGGCGTTTTGGAAACGTGCAGAAGAAACAGACCTGCAGACAACGTCGTACTTTAAATTTAAACTGTGTGGTTTATGTGGTTTACATGTGACTCCTCATCCATATGAGCGCCAGTTCTCACATTAAACAACTTCATAAATATTTTCAGATACCTCAGGAAGGACCCCTGCTGGACATTTCAGTTATTATAAATATAAATATATATGTATAAAAAAAACTTGAGCCACTCTGTTCACTAATGTTGAACTGCCTGAAACTTCCATTTTCAAAAATGATGTTCCTCCAGTTACACATTTTTCTGCAATGMTGGAACAAATCAGATGTTTTCTTTTAAGAGATTTTTACCACAATTTAAAAACAAAACGTGAAGCAACCAGTGTTGTTTTTCTGTGTACTGTTTCCCCTGATGCATCAGGAGCTGATGAATTGCAACAAGGAAATAAATGAGAGCAATTGAAAAGTGTTATTTATTAATAGTGACATAAGTGTGTATTTGTTTTCTATTCATGAAATTAAATCTTTCACTTGTCAAGTGCTGATTGTTTTTGGTGAGTTTTTTAATGAAACTTAAGAGTATGGAACACAGAAACTGACATATTTAAAAATTAAAGCAAAATATGGTCCAGTAAATAAATAAACTTGCACCAAATAATTTTCAAAATGAAAACTTTACCGCATGTTCTATATTTTAATTGACTTTCATATTATTTTTCCAGCTTAGTTTCAACAAATTAAATGTTTTTTTCACATCATTAAATGGATTCTCCTCCTTCCTGTCTGTTGACCAATAAGAAAAGAGCTGGCCCAAGAAGGACCGCCCATCTTATTTGCAAAATGAGGCAGAAATGCTAAAGCTGGAGTAAAAACCAGGAGACAGAGACAAATAAAAGCAACATATAAAAATAAAAAGACATGTAGGGATAAAAAATCTAAAAAAAAAATAAAGCATTTAAGAGACAGATGCATACATTCAAATAAGCAACAGTAAAATTTAAATTGTGTGCTAATTTGATGGAATTAAGCTAAAAAATTATATAAAGGTCAAATAAATTATAAAATATAAGGTAAAGGTCTCCTTTTTTAAATTACTTGGTGCCCTTGTGTATTTATTTATTTATTAGGCCATATTTCTGCTTTTATTTTTAATTATGTCAGTTTTGGTCCTCCATAGAGAGAGATTAAAATTCTAGAAATTCTTAAATAATTATTTCCAGACTGAAACTCTCAACAAGTTAATAGCAGCATAGCAGAAAAGAGACTCCAAGTTTCATTAAATATTGTTTTTTACTAAAAGAATGAGTCCAGTTCAGAACATAATAACAGGTCATGCAGATGGTACAGCAGGTTCTCTGTAGAGGCTGGAAAAACAGGCGTCGTCCAGTAGATGGTGAGTGTATTTATACTTGTAGAACATTATCAGCTGGACTTCACCAGCACAGGTCAGACTGTGTAACAAACTCCATTCAGTCAGGAATAAAATGCAGATTAAGCTGGATTAAGAGAAGAATTGTCCGTCTAACACAYGAGGCCTGATCTGATCTGAAAGAACAAAAGCAGCTTCTCAGCTAACTGAAGTTCACAGACAATAAAAATGCATTCAATTGATAGAAGTAATCTATAAATATTAATGATGAATAAATTGGATATATAAATGTATTTTTTCCACCAGTCGTGTTTGTTGCTGATAAAAGTTTCCCATGAACCAGTCATGGGTTTGAGAGAAGGGAAAGCATGGTCTCTGCTCTCTGAGCAGGTCATGTTTGCTCCGTGGTTTATGGGATGTGTCCTGCAGCGGYCTCGTCTCGTCACCACAGAGTCAGGTGGTCCAGTTTAGAGAAACCTGGATTTTCTCTTAGCTCCCAGTAAGTCCCAGTTGTCAACCAAACGTCCCGTCCACATGAGTCTCTGGCTTTCCTGAAGATGAGAAAAGGAAATGAACTGAACTGATTCATGCAGGAGCACAATGAGAAAACCTGACAAACAGAAAGTTTCAGCTATCTGGAGTTATAAACACTTCAATCTCAGATCATTCACTTATTTATGTAATTAGAAAAAAACCTTAAGAAACCTACAGGTCATGTG